CACTGTAAATCAAGACTTTATGGGGACATCCTAAAAAATGTTCCAATAATGGGACCTGGGGCAAAACGGTCCCGTTGCCCACTCTTTGAACGGCCCTACATGAGGATCGATCGGAAGTGTATCCCCCTTCGAAAATTATAGATACCCCCCCCCCCACAGGTTAGAAAGTCTGAGATAAACACCGAATGTACGGTATAATAATACATGCAAATATTGTCCACAACCGCGGTACGTATCGCTATTGTTCGTATCAATTCCTTGAACTTTAAAGCAATCATTTTTTTCTCTCGACTTTTTCACCGTTCGCTCCGCGGTAATTTCGTATCCGGTGTCCGTCTTACAATGGTGGATATTGTTGTTGACAATTTAGAAATCGATTGGCTTCCCGGAGTTTTGACACCACAGAGATGTTTGTCGATCTGTGACGCCAATACTTGATTACGATTCAGCGTGATTATTAAAACCATATTAGCGCCAAACAAGGATTGTTGTTTTTAACATCTCGCACCACAGTTAAAGCGATCTGCGTCGTCTGTAACGATTTTATTGTTATTTATCATTTGTTCTATATGCTTTTTTAAAACCCAAATAAATTTGAAGAAAAAAATTGGTTTTCAGCAAATACGTTTATAACCAAAAGATATTAAGAACACATCAAAATAATGATGCATTATTCGTTTCTGAAAAGTAAAACCGTTTTCGTACCGAATAGCGGACACCGTTAGGCAATCAGTAATTAATAAATAAAAAAAAAATAGTTTATGTATAGAATTTAATAAATTAATGCTAAGTGCCTATCATTATATTTGTAATGAACGACCTGTTTCGAAATGAAAATAAAATATTACTCCGGACTAAGCATTTATTTATTAATTTATTTCTATATATAAATTATTTATTTATGTATTATATTAGTAATTTTTATTTTATTTTTTATTTTTAAATTAATTAATTATTGTTGCGATATTAATAAAATATCAATTATCCGTACCCGAACTTCGGTTTGAGTGTATACTGTATACGAGTAATTGACGTTAATTAAAATGAAATTCACAATGCACTAGCCTGCTCAATTTAAAGTTTCAAAACAATAATACCAAAGTTTCGAAACGTATGAAAAGTGTAATGTATATGAATATAACAATCATGAAAAACTGCAACGAACATTTGTAGTATGTTCATTAGGGAAATTAGTACTTCAGTTTTAAAGTTTTTTGCAGGGTCAAACTATTTCATTAATTACAACTTTTCGATTAAATAAAAGTACGAAATCATCATTGTGTATTAGGTGTAGCATTCCACATTTTCCACGTTGAATCCAATTTATTATCGTTTTTACAGCAGAATTTGAGAAGTATAGTTAAAACAAATATATTTTTAAATATTTTATTTCTGTTTTATTTTAAACAACAGGGGTTCTCAAGAAATTGTGATTTCGATATTTATATTTAGCGCAGTTGTCGGTTTTTAATTTTTAAATAGCCCTTTCAATTATATTAATAAAATATAAGAGGATTTGACGTGGAACATAGGTTTTATTTTGTTTTTATTTTTTAATAAATTAAGCCTTAATAATTGCAGTACATTTTTAACATTAAAATACAATACGTATTTAAAACTATTTTTATATTTTTTATTTTATGTTTATTCATAAGTCAATTTAGACACTTGAAATTGTTATGCCTGTAGAACTTAAAAGTAAGGTAAAAAGTCTTACTAAAGAAGTTAATAGAATAAAAACTAATTGAAATTATTAAATTGGACTAACTACATTGGACCCGATTTGATCCGATCCGATCCGACTCGATCCGACTAATCGGAAGAAAAACTAAACCGTGTATATCATAGGTAAGTGGCCATGTTTCGTCCGTTTCCAAAGTATTCACTTGTCGAATTAGTCGGTTATAAAAATAAATTTATTTGTTTTTCTTCCGACGAGTCGGATTATCGGATCGGATCGGAAACGGGTCAAAAGTAACCGACCCGGCGACAACGCACATGCGATTTCAAGGAAAAATGTATTTCGACGTATTAGGGAATTCCGCCCAAAAATATTTTTTATGTCGGCCCGGAAGAATTCAGATAATAGGTAAATAATACGGATACAAATCAACACGTACACGTGATATGGTTTTGAAAATTATTTGAGTATTTTCTTACATTTCTATTTTAAGACAACCAATCACGAAATCGACAAAAATCGACGTGCAACATTATTCCCGGTAATCCAAAAATAAACGGTTATTCCAATCGACAATCGCTATGTTATGCTATTTTATTTTGAATTTCATTCGGTTTAAAACGGTAAATATCGTTACAGCAGTACACCACTGACGTTTAATATATTTACATAATTATACATTCCTATCGTTGTACCACGGATCCATTTGTCATAAAGATAAGAATATTATTGAACAGTATTACTCTATTTTTATAAAATGTTAATCAGGCCCATATTTAAAAATTTGACGTTCCCGGGAATATAATTTATGACCCTCCCTCTCAAAAAAAAAAAAAAAATAATAAATAATAACAATATAACACTTAATAATTTTTTCCCTAATCGAGATTCTTTAATATTAAAATATAACTTATAAATGATAATCGTTTAATACTTTTTTTAATTAACAAATTAAACAAATTACAACAGAATAAAACATACTATTTTCTTTTTTTTATTATTTTATTTATTTTTTTTTCATTAGATAAATCATTTTTAAAATTAATTTTGCTAAAACATTTTGCCGCCCCTGAGCTTGAGGCCCCCGGGCATGTTCCTACCCGTGCCCCCCTCCTAAATACGGGGCTTATGTTAATATATTAATGTAGTGGATTACGCGTTGCTTCATTTTGTACTATAAAACAATAATTATTGCGTATTAACATTTTTAGTATTTATCGTTATTATTATTATTTTTTAAATATGTTACTATTTATTGTTGAATATTTATTTTGCACTAAAATTAGCCTTCTATTATGGTATGTTTGCGTGATTATTTAAGTGTTACTTAACATGTTACGTATGTGATTTGATAATAGTCTGTCCCCGGCGTAGGACGTACCATCGAAACGCGAGTTTTGATACGTAAACCCGAATCGAATCAACAACTGAGCGCAACATGATGTCCTAACCGTATCTTTTATCATAACATCTTTACCGTTGTTTATCGCTGTCCGGTTTTTTTATTTTTACTTTTGTGGTTTTTTTCAAAGGTCGTCCAGTAAGTTTACAACCCAGAAAAACGGTTTTGTGGAGAATAGCTATGTAGATCCGTTCGAAATAGACTAGAATGTAATAAATTACATACAAACGTACGATCCCCAACACTTTTTGTCAGAAAACGTGCAACAGTCGAATTCGCTCTGGATATTTTATTCTTGCACTAATTGACCAGAAAAAAAACATATTTTATCGAAAACCAGTTTAAATAATGTAATTAATTAGGGCTCGGAAGTTATTGCATTTGCATGGGTTTTTTGCACCATTGGATTTATTGCTAAGTGAGCTAAAAATTCATTCCAAGAAGTTACGAAAAAAATCTCTTGGTATTACAATTTTTTAGTGGATATTTTATAATTTTTGAAGGTTCGGTCTGAAAATTCGTAAAATAAAAAAATAAATACATTCATATCGAAAGAACCATAGAATCATCTTCAGGCAGTGGTACTCACTAGGTTAGTTATTGCCGAATCGTAAATACAATTATATATTTTTACGCGCTTGATGATCATACTTAAGCTGAACAAACGGCACAAAAAAATAAAAATTTCTTCATAGTTTTAATAACAAAAGATTTTTTTTTTATTTAATAATTATTAACATGATTAAGTGCCATTATGGTTATATGGAACAAAAAATACGTAATTAATGAATTACACTTGTTTTTAAGTAAATTATTTTTATTATAAACAACTTTATTTTCATATACATATAAAACAAAAAGCGTCTACGTAAAGAAAACGGTTAGTGTAACACCGAAATAATGAAATATGATTTATAGTTTTGTGTTCGCACTGATATTGCGGTGTTTATATATTTGATGAGTGTAGTTATCTATCCCGATACACCACGAACAGCCTCTGCCATTTGCCATCGTCACTCGTCACCGTCCACCATGCAGTAATGCAGTATAAACATGTCACATACACATATAGGTACTAGTTAAATATAATTGAAAAAATAATTCATCGACAAATTTAAATTGACCGTCGTTATGTTCTACCACTTTCTGAAAACTGGACATTTTAGTGTCCCGATAATTCCCCGGGAGACAACGCAACAAAGATACGAAAAACGGAACCTTTATCATGCACATTCGATTGAAATTCAAAATTATTTGAAAGGTCGGAATATTTTATATAATTACACAAATTATCAAAAATATAATAAACATAACTCCATGCTAATTATTATATTATTATGTATATTTATTTCAAGTTTTTACTATGCATAAATCAATTAGTCATTCAACGGAATGTAAATTTCATACGAATTTTAATTAGACCTATTTAATTATAACTTTATGTACCACTCTAGGCCAACAAACACCCACCCACCCAATTTGAGTGATTCATTTGAACCGCCTAAAGTACGTACTCGGCGCTACTGTTGGTAGCGTAACCGTCGTTCCGGAAAAACTGGGATTTAATTATTGTTATATTAAATTCGTATAAATATTTAAATATACAACACGTATAAATGCATGCATGCATGTAAGGGTATATGGTCCACACACACGCCTTTACGAATAAATGCAGTGAGAATGGTCAACGGGGTTCGCGGAGGCGAAACCGTGTCCGGTGGATTTTCCAGATGGACGATTTCCCATCACCTCCACCCTCGCGTTTGTTCGCATACACTTCCGAACCAAACTCGCACCCCTTTGGCACCACTAATTTCTCTCGCACTCGGCGTGGTGGTCAAAAGATTCATCGTCGTATATATTGCATAATACGCAGTTACATACAAATGTATATATTACATTCTAAATAGGAAATACCATATCTAAGCTCGTACGTCCTCTTCGCCGTCTCCTCGGATATACGCCCGTCCCGCCTCGTCGCTTCGCGTTATTTCGGTCCTGCGGACTTCCGGGTTTAAACGCGCTGTTGAAACGCAATCGCCACGACCGCTGCCTCCGACGGGCAATCGTGACAGCACGTGGACCGGAAGAATGAAATTCGCCCGTGATACCGACTGCTGCAAGGGTTAGTTTAACTGGAATAAAAAAAAAAAAAAAATTAAATTAAATTGATCCGACGTGCACCCGTGTACGTGTACGCGTAATCGTAATATTTGTTTGCAGTACTACAGCCGTCGAGACGGATGTAGACGAGCCGTAGAGTAAATATTGCTTGTATATTTAAAATGTTTGTCCTGGTGCGAAAATATTCATCACGGTAACAATAAACGTAACGTTCGTTTGCAGCGTTAAAATTATTGTTATTTTTTATCCTGCGATAACCGACAATTATTCAGATCCGAGGATACAACTTGGTTTACACCGTATATTATGGTTTACGGTATTGTATATACAATTCAAATCTTATAGGTTACGTTAGGTAAGAATAATCGAAACCCGGCGTGATTCTTACAACGCACGTACATTTTTTATGTAATATCTTCATGGTCATTCCCTTTTTATTAATTTACATAGCTGAATATTACTTATTATTTATCACGTTATCGTTTAAGATTAATATATTATTGGTTGATAAGAAGATTATATTTTATAAGTTAAAATCTTTCGTTTATTTTGTTCCTATCGTACCCATAAAGCTTAATTTCTCCTTAAAACAAGATATATACTTATGGTTGGCGGCTGCACAAATGGACGGCGTCTTAATTTTATCACGGCTCTGTCCACAATAATTATATCAATCATTCGAGTCGAGAATGAATAGGAAGTTCGTTTATACTTAGTCATGTATGTTAAGCATACATGCACGTAAAATATAACTATTCAGAATTCGAAAAATGAATAAATTATGAGTTCGTATGTTTATGGATGTGGAAGTTTAAATACTATTCTTTCAAGTATGTGCAATGCAATACATTATGCATACATAAATTATAAATTAAGGTTTTCGTACGTATTCGTATGTTCATATATAAAAATGACATATAAAAATATACATATATATATATACGGTATATATATCAGAAGCGAACTGGGAACAGAACGACTCAGAATAATCTATTGGTCCGTTTTATAATTTTCATGAGACAAACTTATAATAACATATAATTTATAAAGTAACTTTGGTTCTGTACAGTTTTCGAAAACTAAATCGACAAATTTTACTTACATCTATACATTAACTTTTGGTAGATCACATTCAGTCTTGAACAACATTACACAATTCTTGTTCGCAGAAATGATACAAATTGGTATTGTCCGTACCATAAGAGATCATCGTGCGAAGACCGGTCCAACGAGCAGTGTAGACATCTCATCATTTTGGAGATATTTTGATGCCTCGTCGCCTCTATGATTATCGCTGGACCGGAAAAGCTAGTATGTTATTCAAATACCTGACAGTTCGTCAGCAACTCACGACGTTGTCGAATGCTCCTCATTTGAACGTCGCTCTGACATTGTGCGAGCACCAGGTACGGAACTAGTCATTTTTATGCCTAGGGAAAATATTAAAATTACACCCTAATATAGACCAAGAATAAAATATCTATATCACCTATTAGCATACAAACACTTATAGAGTTTTAAATACATTATCAGTAACAAAGTTAAAAATATCAAACTAGCAGTCAATAGTAGATTATTATTTACTACGAAAATTACACCCTCTAAAATTTTTTGCCCAGGGATGAAAACCCGTCTTCCACCCCCTAGTTCCGCCCTTGGTGAACACGTCCACAACTTTCGATATAGCCGGATGGGCTCTGTTAACGTCTTTTTGATTGCTGTGCGACTATATTCACAACTTTCGACGTAGTCGTCCCGGCTCTTAGACAACGTCGTTCTGGCCAGGGCCGTATTTAGGGGGGAGCTACAGGGTGCTGTTGCCCCAGACGGCTGAATATGAGAAGGCGGCTAATTTTTTATATTTTCAATATTTAATGATCTAATATTTTTGAAGTGAAACTTCTTTACAAAATAAAAAGTGTGTCTCAAAAAAATATATATATCGCCAATCACAGCGTCACGACACACACACACACACACACACACATACTCGGTAACGGTTGAGTACTATCGATAAATCCAAAGATTTATAAACAATCTATCTTTATGTTGCATTGCACTTAGAATGTTTTTGTGTACACCAGTTACGAATTGTTCTTCAGAAAGATCTTTTTCAATCCGCAGAAATGTATATTTGGTATAATGAAGCGTTTTTTATTGTTGCCCCCTGGTGTCAAATTCCTAAATACGGCCCTGGTTCTGGCCGTGGTGTGAATATTCTCAATAGTTTCCTGCGCACCGCCGACGAAGACCTGTCGGTCTTTATGTTCATCGCGCGTTTTTGGCACGGTCGCGTGGGTGTAACCATTCGAACACCGTTCGAGGTAAACGGTCTTATTTTACAGCGTTCTGCTGTATTATTTGTTTTTTATTTGCACCGTGCCGCCGCGAACTTTTATGTATTATTTTTTTATTTTAATCCACCACCTTTAAGCACATGCTTGTTATTATTGTAATTATTATTATATTTTTGTGACGCGCTCGCAGCATACGTACTTAGATTTTTTTTATCTATTCATATTTTGTTTTTATTATATTTAAGTATTTTTTTTTTTTTGTATCAATAATTGTTCATCGTTACTATTCCTTTCTCTTTTTTGAACTTCTACACTATGCAAAATCTCGAATCGTTCCCATAATGATCTTTTTTCATTCATATTGTATTGTGTACGATATTATGCCGACGTGCTCGCCGCATCGATCGAAGCACATACAATAATACTCGTATCTTTAATTATCAACTATCATAATATTGCTGAGTAAATTAACATAATTGTCAGTACGTATTTTTAGTATAATATTAAAATGTACCTAACAGTTAGACATTTATATAATATACTCATATTATTATTCTAATACTTCTAGGCTGACACATAATTTGATGATTTCACTGGCCCAGAGAGATTTATCTTTTAATTCCCTTGGCCATTCCGCCTCTGATATATATATATATATATATATATTTAAACGTCGACAACTTATAATTAAATACTAGCTGATACCATGTAATCGACTCGTACAAAAAAAAAAAAAAAAAACCGCGAATATTATTGAAATAAAGTTATAATTATATTTTTAGTTTTACTTAAATTCAGAGGTATTTAACATGTGCGCCCTATGGGTTTTTTGTTTTTTGCGAAGTGATGTATTAATAAAAGGTTGAGAAAAGCATTACGATCAAAAGTGACCGTAAACGACGGACAGATATCAACGATTATATTGTCAAGGTTGAATTTTAAGTAACATTTTTATGTATGTAATGTTTGACGTTTGTACGTTTTATTGATTAAAGTATTCCATGCCACGGAAATTTGTGTCATGACTTAATATCGTATTTAGTTTTTCAGTTACTTAGTATTATCTATTGATTCGACTGGACAGTTAAGTCTGTAACGCGAGAATTGTGAAAATGTTGACATGTTATAAAGACATACTCGTATTTACATGTATAGTGAATATTCATTTATTCTTTAGATTTGTGTATTATGTACACATACTCGTATGTACAGCTTGATAAAAAAATCGGGCAAGGATTTAATTTGGTATTATTTTTATTTATATTCCTTAATTTATACCTATATGCATAATATTGATGCGTAAAGTCTCATAAAATCATACTATTGAAATAAAAAATAATTCAATAACAACGGTTAATTATTATTCACAGAAAAAACGTAAAAGTAAAAACCCCTTCTCCCCCGTCTCGCATTTATTTTGCTACTTCCCTATACTATTCCCACTGATTCTAGTTTATTGTTGATTAAAATCCTCCTATCAAACTTTTCAGTAGTAATCAGTACATCGTGCACTATTCAATGGCGGTTGCTTTGGAGTGTTTGTTGCCCCAAAGGATGATGCTGTAGGTTTTCTAATATCGCACGTGGCGAAAACATTCGATTAGCCGCTCAAACCGAAACACCCATGTCTGCACGCACTCGAACTTCGAACAAAAATATAATATACTTCATTTATGATATACTTCATTTCATTAATACATTTCACTCGTTGTGGATATGAGAAAAAGTTGCAAAATCATACGGTCGACGCATCGCGTGCAGATGCCGCCGGCACGTGTCGGAAAATATTCCTATAATAGACCACCGGTGTTGGTCTTGGATTTATGAAATACATCGCGTTTTAGCGTAACGTGTGCATTATAATACTCGACGAGTCTCAGCGGTACCGGTGGTCACGTGTGCGCCTGTACGCGCGTGTTTCTAATACGTAGAGTCGATAGGATTTCGAGAACGGGGGAGTGTATCGCGGATGTACAACCGTTGTACGATTAAACGCGGCCGCCAAAAGGGTTGTTGTACCGCTGGAGGGGCGAGTTTTTTTTTCCGACCGATAATTTTATGTTTTTTAATTTAATTTTTTTTTTTTGTACTCTCCCGTATTTCCAGTAACGGAGCGCGGGAGACAAGAACACGGGCGCGTTCTACGTCTTACGTACATGTACAACCGAATGAACGGAGAGAGAACAGTGCGTGCAACTGATTGTTTCCGACGACGATGGCAGTACGCTCGGCCATATATTGTATTACTATACGCGTGTACGGGCATAATCGACCGGCGAAGATATTCATTAAGCCGTCGTTAACACACTCTTCCGGGTGATTTGCAGTGCGACGCAACAGTGGTAAACACTACATGGCTCGTATATTGATGGTTAAAGGCCGGCGGCGAAGTGCACCTTTGGTAGAAATCCTAACGGGCAACGAGGCGCGAACAACCGACAGACAAATCCGTTTCGCAGCTCATCTCTGTTCACGTACTTACACGTGTATACAGGACGACTCGGGTTTCATTATGCGCGTGCACTACACAACAGCTCTTTATAAAAGGTGATTAGCCGCACCGTCGTCGGCAATCTAATTATGCCCATCGATCATTGCCCGGGCACGTGTACTGTATACCTACCAGCCACCCGTTTCGTCAACTCGTCGTTTACGCGTGGCATGTATTATGTACCGCGGTTAGAATTGACCGCGACGGAAAACGTACCGGTTCGTCGTCGAAATGCCGTTAAAAGTTTCTTGTTGTTTCTTTAACCATTTGATTTACGAATTCATACGAATCATTAGCTTTTGTTGATACCCGCTTCACGGTTTCAGGTCAAAACATCACACCAACTTTAAAAGTTAGTGGCCAGTTGAACAACTTACAATTCTAAAAATAGACTTGTAAATTCTTGCTAATCGATAGTTTTCGTTTGGTACTTATTTCAAAGTTCTAGGTCAAAACAGACGGGCTACGTGAAATTTAACCCAACTTTTAATTTTTTTGTTTCACGGTGAAAGTTAAAGTCCAAATTTGGACTCGCCAATGCTAAAAATTTATTTGCAAATACTTGCAAATAACTTGCAAAATAATGGCACAGATTGGAAAAAAATTGCAATACTCAGGTGGCCCAACTTCACGAACGTACTGATTTTGATGAATTAAGTGATAAGTATAGGATAACCTAACCGTTACATTACGGCCGTTAAAAAAGGAACCGCTTTTCTAGTAAACCATAACTTAATTGACATATTCTCTTTAACAAAAAATTCGCATATTTGTTTCGCCGCTGTCATTGGCGTTCGGAAGAAAGAATGAAATATAGATTGTATTATACTATATATTACATAAAATCTAAGAAAAAAAGTATATATATATACAGCCGCTGCTGCCTTCCCGTTGTCGAATAGCATGATCAATTGCGTTGACAGGATCACTATGTATATACTATAGGATATTTGTCGCTTTACTAATGAAAATGAATTTTTCAATGCAAATCATGTGCAATACACACTCGCATATAATATATTAAATATAGTGGCGTATTTTCGAGGAGGAGGGAGGATCCCGGGTCTTGACCTCCCCCTTATCCAGAAGAAAAAAAGGTTGAAAAGTCATAAATGATTCGCTACGAAGGTACAAAAAAAAGAGAAAATTAATTTATATCATCTGGTTGTAATGTTTGCATAAAAATATTTACACAGTAATATAATTATTAATTCATACCTTATACGCATTCTTTATAATATTATAGAATCATTTATTAAACTTAGAAAAATGTTAAACTTCCTCACATAAATTTGAAAATATTCCATTGCAAATATATATTAGGTATATGAACAAAATATGCATGCATACGTGGTTTGAAAAACGGTGCTCGAGCACCGGAAGCGCGTTAATGAGTATGTCGGCCGGGGGCTAGGTTTTATTTTTCGCCCGTTATCGTTCTCGGTGCAGGTCGCAAACTGAAAATCGGCAAATCTCATTTGCCCTCGGGTCGGGTAAATTCGGTGGTCCCTCGACCGCTGTTCGTCAGCTCGTTGTTTACTGGCCGCGGGTCAATTTGATGTAGTTTGTTGTTTTATTTTTTTCCTTTACTCTTTTTTACTACTACTATTATTATTATTATTATTATTACTATCATTATCTGTTCGCTCACGTCCCTTTGTGTCACCTTTACTTGTGTTCGCGCAAAAGGGACGACGGACACGTTCATTACGCCGAGCTCGTCGCGTTGGTGCGCGTATACATGTATAGATACGCGCGCGCATACGGCTTCAAAGGACCGTGAAAACCGAGAGCGGCTGCCAAAGGGACGCTGATTTTCCGGGAATACAGGAAGGGACTATTTTTTTTCCTGTCGCGAGAAGTTGTTACGGACGCGAAATTACGGCCACGAGAGCGGATGACGACGGAGGTCGACCGAAATACTTTATATATACATGCGAATATTGATGAGGTGTCAAAGCGAAAATTCGCATTGTTACGCAGTGTAAGTCCGACCAATCGAAATGCGCAGCCCACCGACATGTGCGCATTTTAAATAGAAAAAAACACTTTTTTTATCTGTAATGTTCGGACGTATGCCATGTACAATTGTTATTGTATATAACTATTATAACTAGTATATAAATATATAATTAATATAATAACTAGTATGTATATAGCGTAGTCGATATCGCGTTATTGTCCCTTTCACGAAATGGACAATTTTTATATCCATTTCGCCAAATGGAATCGCGATTCCTCCACTTCAGGTAATTACACGATGTGAATAACATTTCCCGAAACGAATACCTAAACTATAGGCGACGAAATTTGTTCCGTCATGTGGATGTCCAAATAACGAAAAAATAAACTTTACTTTTTAAAAAAAAATTCTTTGTTCACTACCTATTTAATTTATTTAACATTTTTTTTTTTTTTAATGTATTTCAATTATATTCTTAATAATTTAATGAAATATATAAATATAAAATAATATTATACTAAATAAATAATAACAGAATACAATTAATTTACAATTGTTACTATACTATTGTACAACGGGTTTTTACTTGGTTTTTTTTTTTTTTTGTATGATACAAATCAAGTTTTTTATAAAATTAATTTTTTTCGTCAAACGACATAGTGTCATTGTGATTGAAATATAAAATATTGCATCGTTTAAGCATTTATCATAAAACAGAAAACTTATTTTGTTATTTGGATATCCATATGACAAAACAAATTCCATCGTTTATAGTATAGCTCTCCTTTCAAGCCCGTACTGGCTGCTCTTATGGGGTGGTTACGAAAATATTTAAGGGCGTCTTATTTTTTGTTATTTAATCCTTCAGATTAACTATGGCCCAATAGATTACAGATTAAAGAACCA